GTCCTATATAAAATTTTGAAAAAGTTGTGGCCCGCCATTTGACTGGTTTTTTCAATTAGAAGAATGTAAAAAATTTGAAACCAAAAAAATTTTTTAGTTATTAAATCAAATGGGAAAAAAATTCAAATATAATTTTTTTTTTTTTTTTTGCGTGCAATCTTTGCCCTAGCAAGTTCCCCCATTTCTACCGCTATATACTGTTGCACCTCTATATGCTTGCTCTATATACTTCCTGGATATACTATTGCATCATATTGTATACAACATATTATATACATATACAACTACTCCAATATTTTTTGGGGTAAAAGACTTAAATTCATTTTTTTTTAAATATTTATTTTGATCAGTAAAAGTATGTTTTTATATCATTTTTCCTAAATTATTGTTTGCATAGAGTGTGCCCCTGGAACCATTAAGATTGAATATGAAATTCCATTCATTAGAATATAAGTTAACTAAGATGAAAAATTTTTTTATTTAGCCCACTGAACACTTTACTAGACTTGAAATTACAACATTGATGTATACTAAATATAACCTAATATAAAATAATTATTCTTGTGAAAAAATTATATTTGCTCAAAAATAGTTAAGAAATGTAATAATTTATTTAAAAATACATATATACATATCTTCAATATAAGTAAATAGCGATAATCATTCATTAAAGTATATTAAGAAATGCAAACATAACCACAACCATATATTTTTCAATAAACAAACATTTAAATATGTCAATTATTTTTTGTTTTTTAAATACACAATTGCCAGACAATATAACTATCAATTAAAGATGAAATGTTCCACTAATTGAAATTACAGCTATTTTATTTAAACTAAAATTTTATGGACACAAACATTCAATACAATATACACAATATCAATAATAGAATATCTTTTGTAAAATAGCAGTTTAAATATCAATCTGCCTTTTTGATAAAAGAAACTATTTCTATTCAATTGCTTGATCACTATTAAAGCACATATTTACATAGATATTTTCTCACAAAATAACAACTGTTCTAAGTTAAAGAGTTTAAATTCTAATAAAAAATTAATAAACAAATAAAAATTTAGTTTTAATAAAAAACAACTAACTTAACACAGCAAATTTATTTTTGCTGTCACATAAATTTCATTTTTGTAATAGCAAACTTTTTTTTATTTATTTTGTATTAGGAAGGAGGGCAAATTACAAAAGAATCTACCATTTTTTTCCAAATTTGTAAGAAATTTAATTTAACAATAAATTATAAATTAATTATGTTGTAGCGAAACCAAATATTTAATAAAACTATACAAAGCAAATAAATAAATATAAATACTTATGTATCTCTATATATTACAGAAATATAACTAGAATAATTTAGCATATAAAACAAAGACTGAATACCTCCTAGTGTAAACACCTAATATTTTGACTAAGCATAATATTAAATATTGAATAATGTTAAACATTTAAAAGCTCTCAACTGACTTTTTTTTTACTTGAAAATAAACCAATCTGTATTTTAAAGAAAAAGATGTCATTAAGATAATTCATTAATTATAAGCAAATTTAAAAAAATAATAAAAAAAGTAACAACATTCTAACATTATTATTTGCAGAAAAATTATAAGAACAAGGACTGAACTATTCTTAAAAAATAAACCAATTTCTTTTTCATAGATCCTATTTGATAATGTAAATTATGGTTGATTTTTACAAACAAAGGTTCTGTAATCCAAGAATATTAAAAGATTAAAAAATATTGCAATAGCATTCCAAAACGGAAGTGGAGGTTCTGTCTTTCCCCTGCCCCCAAATAATTCTTTCTAAAAAAGGGTTTAACAATAGTTAAGATAAATTTAAATACATAATAGTTTAAAAACTTGCTTGCAAACATTGTTTACTTAATTAAACAAACCATATAAATCATTACTTAATTTTCATGCCAAAAAATTGTATTTAAGTGCATTCTTCTCCCAAATATAGAACCTTGAATGCACAAATAAATTTGAATATGAGCTTTTTGAATTTAAGATTTTTAAATACATAATTAATATTCAAGACTTAATATAATATTTGATACACACATATAAGTTAATAAGCATCCTTTACAATTAATCATTAGCATACAATAAAATATAATTATACCCGTAAATGAAGAAATGCAAATTAGTATTAGAAAAAAGAAATTTAAAAAACATATCTTTAAAGCTTTATAAATTCAAAATTAGATATTCCAGAAACTGTGTTGCACATACTGTAAAATTGTGCAAAATGTCATAATAAAAAATAATTCAGTTTTATATCAATAATTAAATAAAGTGAATGTTGGGGGGAAAATACTATTTAATTAAAAAATAATTTCGAACATAAAATAAGATTTATAAGTAAAGAATTAAAACTGAATTTATTTTCTAACTGTAAATTCTTTCCTCTTCCTTTTTTGTAACTTTAAGTGGCTTGAAATGTACAAATATTTAATAAAATGCCATCATAGAACACACTAGTTATAATATAATAATTGTAACTATAAATATTATCAATATAAAATGTAAAATAGAAATTCATACACCAAAAAATAGACTGTGATAATATTTTTCAGTGTATATCTAATAAATAATATACAAGCAAAATTTTGAAATCATGACCAAAACAAAATTCAGTAAAAATGTTTATTAGTTGCATTTATCTTACAAAGTAATGAAAACAGTTGTTATTAACTGTCCAACTATAAACATGGCTTAACACAAAGATTTTTCACACAACCATTTACACGTCTATTTTTCCAAACGAAAAACTACATTAAATAATTTTGCTTGCAATGAAAATAAACTCGATTTTCGACCCATAACTTAGTTCAAAGTAGAGCCTGCATGTCCCTTACATTGCAAACAGATTTATTTCCATGTTGAAAAAAAAATACATAAGACAAGCTAAACAGTTAAAAAAATAAATTATAATTACTGAAAAGAGCTAACATTTTGAATACCGTAGCTACTTTTTCAACTAACAATTCATTATCTTGCGCTGGTTTTAAATGCCAAATTTAAGTGTATGTGATAAATTTAGTACCTTAATCAGGGAACTTCAATTTATTGTACAAAATCTTCTATGGCATTTTCCTAAATTCTAATATATATTGTAACTACTTTTTATTTCCAAGAGGTGTTTTGAAGTACCTCATCAACTGCTTGTAAATAAAGGATTAAAATTGGCAAATAGTTTATTCAGCCTATAAACTAGGGTTACGGAATGTTAGTTAAAAAAGTGTCTATAGTAGAAAATTGTTTTACCTTCTCCTGTAAACAAAAGTTTTCTGAGAACACTATTATTTACAACTGTGTATATTTACAAATCGCTGAAGCAAATAATGGAATTTTACAATTCAAAACTTGCAACACCCAGACAAATAATAAGTTAGAATAATTTTTCTTAAATAAGGCAAAAAAATACTATAAAAAAATATTGCAATTTTCTTTTTATTTTGCGACATTTCCTTAACACTACCTATGCATTTGATTGAAACTATTATCCAATTATTTCAAACACTTAAGTTTTGAAGCAAATTAAGTAAAAAGTTAACTTTTGCTCCTTAAATAAAAACCATTGAAATAGATAATTTTTGAACATTAAATACAAATTCTAATTAAAGTTTCACGAGTTTCAAAGTTAGTTGACTTAACTAATAGGATATATAATATCTCCAAGAAATGAATATTATAGAGAGTATACTAAACCATAAATTTTTCATTTGGAAAATTATTTCAGATAATGTATGTTCTGTATGATAATGTTCTGATAATGTGAAATTAAAAAAGATCACCTTTAATTCCTTTTTTAAGTAGATAATGTTAACTAAAATTTATCTCAAATTTTGAGTGACATAAGCACTGATTTTTTTTTATCTTTTAATACCTCAACATAAATTGATGAATCGAAATAAAGTTTAATATAATACAAAATAAATTTAATACCATTTACAGATAACAAACAAAATAAACCAATAATCAAAATTGTTTTAAAATAATACATATTCAGCATTTAATTCTATAAGGCAGGGGTCCCCAACCTTTTTGTCACCAGNTATTTTATCGTTGGGCACAAGCAGCGGGCACACCGAGACCGATCGACGGGCGCCATGGTGCCCGCGGGCATAGGGTTGGGGATCCCTGCTATAAGGTATATGTGTAGCATTAGAAAAAGACTATCCAGTTGGCCTAGACAAAATTTTACATAGGTTTAAATATCAAATCGTTCATTTTAAATAACTTTTACTGAATGTCCATGCCTTAACAATGAATCTTATACAGCTACATGTACAAATAACATATTGTAAACACAAATAAGATTTGATTTGTGTATTTTGGTTAGATCAAAATATAATACAATAAAACTCCGACTATCAGAAACATGTATAATAGAAATTTGAGATTATTTAATTATGTTTTAACTGCATTTTAGAAACATTTTCCAGCCAACACGAATCTTGCTGCTATTAGTAGTAGTAAGATAGTGCCTTTTATTAACAATATTAACTATTGATAGTAGTAAGAAACATGCTTTTAAAATGAATGAATGTATATATTTTTTAAAAAATCTACATTTTTTTTGCAAAAATTTTTGCATTTTAATAAATGTAACATAGCTAACAGCTATGTAATGTTTACAGCAAGATTTAATATTTTTTTGAATGAATTATAAGTTATTAAACACTATTGCTTTTATTGCATAACAACCAAATAACTATCAGCAAATTGAAGAAAAAATTAATTTATTAAAAACTTGCAGCTTATGTGAAAGGTTATTGTACTGGTTTTTAAGTAATTGTTTGAATTTTACTGTCTCTTTGAACTTACCTTATGATACATTTTAAAAATCCCATTTTACAGCTAACTAAACACTTTCATACAATCTAGCAATAAGAACTGATGAATTAATACTATTTGTGATAAATTCAGTGTAAAGAAGGACTGAAACAAAAAATTGTCTAGATTAAATTATAACCTTCTAAATGAAAAGAAAATGTAACACATAAGTTACATAATTTAAAAACTATCTTATTATAGGGACTTAGATCTTTAACAATAAAACCAATTTCTTTTTTACTAAATAAGTCTAAATCCAAAAACTCACTTCAAAAAATTAGTACTCTCAATATTATAGAGCAATTCTCTCAACTTTCATAACTCTCACATTTTATTTTTTTTTGGTCAATAGTGTCAATACATTGATAACATTTCAGCACTTAAGGTTTTTTTTTCTTAACTCAAGTTCAGGAAATGTCCTTAAAACTATTTTCCTATCCGACAAGGAAAAAATGCATTTAACAATGTAACAAACAAATGCCTTCTGACAAATTTCTGATGTTGACAAATAATGAAATAAAAAACACCTTTAGAAAAATAAAACTCAAAAAGGATACCATGCATTTACATCATAAATATTCTATAAACAAATTCACAAGAACTATAAGAATGTAACATTTATATTCTGCATATTTTAATGAATTTCTTCTACAATATTTCTCAAAAGTTTAACATTGATTTTTTGTTACAAGCTTTTCCATTGAGATAATCGGGATTTTAATGTAATTACTAAAACAAAAAAAGCACTCATTTCAATATATACATGAAATAACAGTTATTTTATAGATACAAATCTAAAATAAAAAGCACTAGAATAGTTTTTTTGCCCCAACTATTTACACATCGGAATCATCATTTTATTCACAACAGGAGTTAAAGCTATTATATAAACATGGAATCAAAAGACTTAAATGCTTACACAAATGCATTAAAGCACAAGTTACTGGGGTATTTATATATTTAACAAGCACAATCAATAGATTTTTGCTGTCGCTGCTGGTGTCGCGAGAGCTTACGGAGAGAAGCATCTCCATACTGAATACCTGACCCTATTCTCTCAGGATCCAGTTCACCTAAAAATATACAATTATTTTCTTATTAAACATTTGAATTTCTAATACGAACACATTTAAAATAACTATTTAAAGTTCATTCAGCCCCTTGAACAAGTGTGAGGTGGAAAAAAGTCCCACAGTGATCATAAGACACAATTCTCAATAGATCACTTAAGTTAAGCATCACTGGCAGCAGTCACAGGGTATCTGTTACATTTTAGATTTTCAAATCCATGACTTTCCATGAATAATTCCAAGAATTTTTCATCACTTACCGAAGATACAATTTTATGACTTACGAAGATACTATTATACTATTTTATTACCAACGATACTATTACGAACACATTTAAAATAACTATTTGAAGTTCATTCAGCCCCTTGATAAAGTGTGAGACGGAAAAAGCCCCACAGTGATCATAAGACATAATTCTCAATAGATCACTTAAGTTAAGCATCACTGGCAGCAGTCACAGGGAATCTGCTACATTTTAGATTTTCAAATCCACGACTTTCCATGAATAATTCCAAGAATTTTTCATGACTTACCGAAAATACTATTTTATGCACAAAAACACAACAAAAAATTTCACAAAAAAAATTATAATAACATTAATTGAAATGATAGGTATAACCAAAACTGTTATATTCTGCATCTTCATATTTATTGATTTTAAACTAAAAAGCTGTTTTATTTCTTCTTTAAAGTAAGTGTATTATAAAAAGCCTAAACTAGAATTTTAAATTGATAAAATAAAAGAAATAAGTAATAAATAAATAAAAAAATTCTGAAATCACAGAAGTTTAAAGGATAATTTGCTCTAGAAATGATGTTCTTTCTTTCATTTTTTGAAAGAACACCATAATTTTTAAAGAACAGGGTAAAAACATTTTATATTTTAATAAAATATGACTATGAGTGGGGATTTTGCTACAAATTCAGATATTCAGAACATCGGAACACTGTGAAATTGGGAGGGAAGGTAAATTCCATTTTAAAAATTAGATTTTTCAGCGACCTAAATCCATGACTTTCCATGATTTTATTTTTAAAAAACAGTTAAAATCATGACATTTCATGACAAATTTTGTTCAATACCGAAAACCATGATTTTTCAATACTTTCCAGGTGCGCGTATACCCTGGTGAATGACCACTTTAATCAACCTACGCAAGGATTGACGGCAACCAGTATCAATTCACTGTCCAAAATTCAAAATGCTAGCACAAATGGTTCTGGAGTTAAGTGAAACACAAATAAGCTCTTCCTTTTATAATTATGGATAATAATAATCACTTATTATTATAATAATAATTTACAACTAACTTATAAACTTTAATAAGAGGATTGATTTATTATGAATACATAAACAGGTCAGGAAATAAAACATTTGAAAAATGTTGATCTATGAATAACGGAATGTTAGTTTAATTTCAATAAATTTAAATTATTGCATAAAAATAAAATTATTATTATAAATACGAAAATTTTTGTAACAAACTAACTACAAAATAACCAGTTTTAAATTTTACAAACATTAGAAGAGAATGGTGCCTTAATAAGTCAGAGTAAAAAATCCAATTTGCCAACAACTGACCTCAATCTTTATTAATTTTAAAGTAGAATTTAAAGTAGATTTTGATTAAATTTCATAAATATTAAGTGAGTGAGAAAAAAAAAGTTCACCTGTGTGATTATTTTTTAACATCTAAAAAATTAAAACAAAAATTTGGAAAATAATATATGAGGGAAAATTATTTCCAAAAAAAATAGCCAAAAATAGTGGATTCAAGGAAGAATCTCATGCCTGCTTAAACCTCAGATGTATGAATTATTTAGCATATTTCAAATAACTGAAAAAGAAAAACTCCAAAATGAAGGATCAGTACAGCAATATTTATTTTTGTATACCTTAATTGAAAGCACTGTCCAAAAATTTTGAAATATTTTTGGTTGATAACCTTGTATCAATTTTTTTTCAGTTAAGAGAGAAATAAAATAAACTGAATTATTATGTATGTATATGAAGGAATAATTCCTAAATTTTTTTTTAATCAATTTAAAATTCTAAAAAGTGCAAATTAAACATTTACGGGCAAACACAAAACTGTAATTAAAATATTGATTACAAATAACGAGAAAAAAAAACTTATATTTAATTATGTGTACTTTTTCTAATTACGAAAATTATTGGGCAGTGAATTAAATCAAAAGATTACTTTGTTTTAAATTTAGAGACAACATACCCCTCTGTTACAACTTCAAACCACGTCATCAAAAAAAGTAATTTTAATTCTGCACAACTTTGCAGTCATAAACTTCATAATTTGTAGTTTTAAATGAAATCTAAATTTAAAATTATTTAATATGAATAATTCCTTAAAATAATTTTTTAAAAAAAAACTTTTAATAAAAATAATAAGCTTTTTTAATAGGTTATTTATCAAGAAATATTAGTCAGGATTATATAAAACTATTAGTTTAGGATGATGTAAAACTTTTATGATTCAAAATACTTTTGATCTTATTAAACCAAAAATTAGAATTGTTTCTTTTCTTTTTTTTAAGCAAAACTTTTACTTTTAATACTCAATCCCATAGTAATGTTTAATATGCAGAAATAAATATTTATTTGATAAACAGTAAAATATATACCAACATATTTAATTACATAAAAATTAAAAATCAAAACTAGCATATAATAATGCATTGCAATTACATGTAGCAAAATTAGCATTGTTTCTATTATTAAAGCAATTACAACTGTTACAACTATGAATTAAAAATTAAAGAAAAATTTAAAATAAAATAATTACATTATAAGTATCAAAGTAATAAGAACTCTTTTGTCAAAATTGAAAATAAAGTTAAAAGAAATAGAATTGCAAAAAAATAATCTTACCAGCTTCAATTTTAGCTAAAATAGTTTTTGAACATTTCAGAAATGCTTCTTCCACATTTTCACCGGTAAGAGCACTAGTTTCTAAAAACATAAGTTCTGCAACAACAAAAAATTATTAAATTTAAAATAAATATTTAGTAAGTTTATAGTAGTCAATAAAAAAGTTTCAGAGATAAATAGTCTAATGAAATGCATTATGACATACACAAAAATTTATTGAACTAACCATTTTCTTGGGCAAATCGACTAGCTTCCAAGAAAGTAACTTCTCGCTCTTCCTCCATGTCTTTTTTGTTCCCAACTAAAAGAACTGCAATATTTGGGCTGGCTAAAGTACGAGCATCAGTCAACCAATTTGAGAGAGAATTATACGACTCACGACTACAACAAAAATGGAGAAAAAAATTATTAACTACTAGGTAACATTTTATAACAATAAGAATCACAAAAATAATTTTTAAAAAATGGATCTAAAGGAAAATTAGGAATATAAACATTTTATACAATCATTTCATCATAGGTGAAAACTTTTAAAAATAAAAATGGAGATTGTTGAAATGGAGACAGAGGTCATTGAAAATTGATTTTAATATGATGTTCTTATAAGATTTTTTGGATAAAAGAGTCAAAAAAGAATTTCCAAAGATTTCTGAAACTTGCATAAACTTCCTTTTACCTTTTTCTATAACATATTTGAGTGAAACAAAATTTTTGTGTTTAAATACCATAAAATAAAAGTGTCAATAAAATCTAAAGAATATTTAAAAAATATTTCCTTGTAATGGAGTTCATTCCATTTCTTTTTTTATGGTGTAGAAATTATTATGATGGAAGATTATAATACATACATATTGCACACTACTTTTGAGAAGAACTTGTGTCCACTGATGTATCAAAACAATAATTATTTTATTTAAACAACAATGACCATTATAACTTTAAACAAAAGCAAATAGTTTGGAGATTAAGATATTCAGCCCCGAAAATGATGAAATATTTTCAGTAAATTCTTAAATAGTTGAGGGGCGTAATCTCTAGTCCTAACACCAAGAATTCAAAATTAAAAATAATTTAATTGTTTCCAAAGGACAGTTAGGAGCAAGGGAAGAGATCTATAGTTGGTGATTTATCGAAAAGATAAAACAGTTAAAAACAAAGCCAACTCCATGTAATTAATATTAAATTTAAATAATTTGGCTATAGCCTTATCGCTAAAAAGACTGTGAGAATTAATGTAACCCAGTAACAGAAACGTTTTTGTGGTAAGAGAAATAAAGTAACTTAATAAAGAGTTAAAAAATACATTTTTATGTTCGATTTAATCTCGATAGTGAATTAATGAATTATACATTTCTATTGAATTAAAAAGTTAGACGTTATTGATTGCTAAGAATAGAATAAAATTTTATATTTGCTTATTATAAAATGCAATTAAAATTAAATAATTATTTTAATTTAATTAAAATTGAATTAATGATTAAAAAAATTAAATTTATGAAATTAAAAAAAATTTAAAAGCTAGGAGATATGTAATGCCTGTTATGGCATTACATTCCTCTTGTGCTGTCAACGATTTTGCCAAGATCCAATAATATGAATAAAAACAAACAGTCACACCTTTCCCATTGAAGCTTAATCGTCACATATGAGCTGTGAGAAGTTATATATGGCTCCATTAAGTGCATTTCCTGAGTAGTGATTTTCCAAATGGCTTAATGAACAGATACAGAAAAGCTTTAAACTGATATAAGTACTGTATATCTTGGTGTATAAGTCAATCCTCTATTTCTGTTTACGGGATAGCAAATTTCTGGCTTGTCAGGAGAATAAGTCAATTATTATTATGAGTAAATGCCTAATATGTCAAATGGTACTAGATGTGTTTCAAAATCTGGATTTAAAGGTTATTGTAAAATATTTTTAAAATGTGGAATTTCAAATTCTTGGGAAGGGGTGAATAGGATTTTTTGTAGGACTCAGCAGATGAGGATGAAGTAGAATTCACAGTGGGATCCATATTCAATACAACTGGTGTTCAGGAATCTTTAAATTTGTTGTCTTATGATATGTTTTAAAAGTTTTTATTTTGATATTTTTCTTAAATACTCTTGAATAAATTATCTTAACTTTAATTTAAATTATGTTTTGAAAAAAGAAAGGAAAGTTTCTAAAAAAATCTTAATATATGAAGAAAATATGATGAAAGAAATTACAAAATTAATTGCATATAACATATTAAAAATAGTTTTTGAAAAGGGTAATTAGTAAAGGTAAATCCAAACAAAGTTATTCATATCTATCTCATTGTTTATTAAGCATCGATATTTCACAATCGATGACTGTCCGACTTCATTACCAGTGTATAAATAATATAATATAATTTTCATAAAATTTTGGGGATTTAAAAAGCTGATATACAGTAATTAAATTTTTTATTATTATTGTATTATATATTTAAGTTTGCCATTTATTTAAAAAAATTTTAAGACCTAAGACTGCAGTAGTATATTACAGCACAAGTACAGAAACCATCAGTTTCACTCAAACACAAATGGGATTTGCACTATACTTATGAGGTCTACAAAATCTTCGTAACTATTGTATCCTTACCCCAAGAAGTTTAAGAGATCCTGCTCCAGTATAACATTTATTAAACACACTGAAATTTACAGTTTGATTGTGCGATAGTAATTTTAAATTAGTTAAATGTAAATTTCAGATAAAAGGTTTTTAGTTCAAGATTTTGATCTTTTTAAAAAAGAAAACATAATAGATCAATTAGATAGATGTAAATTTTGTAGTGAATCATCTTGCTTAAAAATTTATTTACGACCCCACAAATGTATGTTTTTTTTTTATTTCGGCCTTGGCAAAGATTCTAAAAATACATATCAAAGGTGGCCATTAAGGAATCTCCCAACATATTGGCTTTTCACCCAGCCAACTTTTTTGAATGAGTAGAGGCTTGAAAAGGTCAATCCAATGCTCACTTATTAGTTGTCCAGTAAATTCTTCGGTAAGAGATTTTCTTCACTTTCCTCATTTTTTTTCTTTGATTTTACAACTACAAAAGTGACCCATAATAGAGGACGAAATTTTGATAAGATAATTATAGCCACCTTTGAAAGCAGTAATATCTATGTTCCAAAAAACAATCAGAAAAAATATTATAACTTCTTTGCTGCAATGATTCAGAAAATCTATGAAAACATGCTTTATCCTATAAATTCTATGTATTATTAGAACTTGGCAAGAATCATAGAACTGCCCACATTAGTCAGAAGTTCAATTTATACAGAACAGCGTTAATGACCATGAGCTAGCAATAAAATAATAGAATATTATCAGCAAAATAATAAAAAAACATAACATAAATTTAATATCAAAGTATACCTCGTTATGTCATAAACAAGTAAGGCACCAGCAGCCCCTCTGTAATAGCTTCTTGTAACTGACCTAAAAACATATACAATTAAATTTCTAAGAATTGCAATTTAAAGAAAATAAATAAAGCAATCTAAGAGAAAAGATATAAAATAATTTTAAGACAAACATATAAACAACATTTATGGAACGAAAAATGTTTATTTAATATTCTTTTTTCAAAGGAAAAACTTTTTCTTTAACGTACTATATGAATTGAGCAAAAAAAGGAACACTCTGATTAACTTTTTATACAGTGATAAGATTTTCATGTACCGTGACTCAATCTCATGATTTAAACGAATGACCTAAAATACCTTAATTAATTAGAGCAAACGACATTTTAAGTTATGAAATCAAACACAAAAACATTACTTTCTTGGAATAAACAGACCTTTTTCTTTTCTTTTTGACAGTTTTGGATTATTGCCCCTCAAAATATTAGGGGTATCAGCACTCTAAGAAATATAGACTCAATAATTTGGTCAGGAGAGTGGTTGGGGGGGGGGCTTAATGTTAATTTTACTTCCTGCATATTTCACCATATCTTGAGAGCTTTAAAAAATATTACCTCACAATTATGAAAAATTGTTTGTTTGTTGATAATTCCATGCAAAAAAAAGAAATATAAATAATTATTTATTATTTTTATTGTTTTATTTAATAATTTCCGAAAAAATTTGAATTGTAAAGCATACATATTTTTACATCATTTTGAAGAATATAATTTTCTATAGCAAAATACAAAAGTTGAACAAAATCAATCGAATGTGATGATAAAGTTCTTGAAAATTTGAATTTTAAATACATAACTTCCTTAAAAATAAAAGATAAAAGGAAGAATAAATCAAAATATTAAACCTAAGCTCACTTCAATTACTTATAAACAAAATTACAACACATAAAATGCTTTACCATCTTCTGAAATAGTTAGTTTTGTGTACACATCTCAATTGCTGACTTAATTTATATGCATAGTTCCAAGGCTTTATAATAACTACTACAAAAATGAAGTTTGAATGGGAAATAACACAATACAAAACAGTGACGGAAGAACCTTAAACCTTTGTTTCACAAAAATAGATCGTTATGAATACATATAAAAACAACCACCAAATTTTTAATGTTCCATATTGTTGCTTTGTGATAATACTTTTTCTGACATTATACTACAGTCAGTAAAAATAAAAAAAAATAATATGTCATCATAAAACTAGAATTTTTTTTTTTTTTTTAAAAAAGAAGACTATTTTATCAATTTTTGTTAAAACTTTTTTTTAAATAAAAAAAATTCCCCACAACACAATCTACCTGAATTCTTTCACAATATCTAAAATTAATGATAGTGAAATATGCATCAATGGCAGTTGAAAATAAATTTCTTACTAAAATTCTATTTTACAAAAACAGATGGTTACAAATAGTATACCTGATAGAATACATATAGTATATTGAAATACCTGAATCTTTCTTGACCAGCAGTATCCCAGATCTGCAATTTGACAGATTTACCTCCAATATTGACAACTTTGGAACCAAATTCTACACCAATAGTGTGGTTTGAATCAGCTTTAACTATTAAAATTACAATAAGTAAGTCAAAAAAACTAAAATTAATTTCAAGTATCAATACGAATTTCAAAAATTTACATAAAAAACATATAAAGTAATAATAAAACCTTTAAAAAACTAAATAGATAAAATCTTGACTAAAAATTTTTCAGGATTCAAAAAAAAAAAAAACTCTTTTTAACCCTTTCACTACCACTGGGACATATATGTCCCGCAGGCAGTTTCAAATAACCCTATGGGCTAAATATGCTTTGTATTATTGTGAATGCATGATCCACTGGTATTCCTTGATATCACTGACAATTCAGTGTAATTTTCTCCCAATAGATGGCAGTACAACCCTTTCCTAATACATTGTTCAATCGCAAAAATTCATTGCGCGGTATTTTGTCCTGTCTTGCCATCATAAAAATTTTGAGTTTTACCAAATGAATGAATTTTAACAACCAAAATATCAGTTAGTATTTGGTCTGGCATTATGTAAATCATCAATTAACATAAAATTAGTTCAATAATTATATGACATCAAAGGAAACATAAATAAAATATTTTAACTTCAACTGCTATTCTTGGTAGCAGAAACAAACAACCATAATACCATTATTACAAAAATATGTCCCCTTTTTACTTTCTATCATTCATATCAGACAAAAGAAAAAATATAGAACTTATTAGTATGTTCAATGAACAAAAAAATAAAAACGTAACATAATCAATATATTAAAATATTTCCAAGACATATTATATTTATTGAACCTATCAATTAAGGAAGGAAAAAAAAAAGACTGAGTCTACAATAACAGCAGCTTTTTAAAATGTAAAAAAGGGGGATTTTACTCAAGAAAACTGTAGGAATAGAAACTAGGATCCAACTGAAAAAGTTAGGACTATGTCTATTCAAAATAGAACAATAGGTTACAAGGATAAATAAACTACATCAACTATCACTTTTAGATTTCTTAACTGTGCTCAACTTAAACAAAAAAATTTGAAAAAATAAAACGTGAGTAATTCATAATTTTACTGTAAATTTTAGATTGTATATGGATAAATAAGTAGGTTCATAATACTAAGTTATAAATCTTTTAAGAGCTACTTTGCTTACTACTTTAAGACTTACTTTGTGTTTAAAATTTGCATGATCAAAGTTTTAATAAAATTTAAATTGTAATACAATATTTAAATATTAAGATAAGAATTATACATAATTAAAAAAACCTATAAAATAACAATGAATCCTAAAAGTGCTAGATTGATATCTTGACCCAACTGATAAAATATTATGCTTTGTACCACACTAATAACAAAATAAATAACAACATTTACAAGCAAAAATAATTTTTAAAAAATCATACACACAGAATAACATTTATAAAGATAATATTTAAAAAGCTTTATTAAATACATTTGCTCTCAATAAACTGGTGCAGAAGACAAGATTTTCCAGTTCCAGCACTTCCAATAACAAGAAACTTAAACAGGAAATCTGAAAATATTAAACAAATTTACATTTTAAAAAATAATAACTAACAATACTAGCATACATACATTTATAATAAATTATACTAAGTCTTTTAATATAGTGCTATTTTGCTTTGTTATAATGTTTTACAAATCAGAAACTTTTAAATTTAATTCAATATTAAATTTGTCAGAAAAACATTTTTTTAATAAACTTAGGTACACTCCTAGATACATTAGATCTATGAGGGTAATTATAATGGTTGATAAATAATTTCCATACACCATATATTATAATAGAGCTATTTAACCTTAGATAGCTCATGAGCAAGATATAAATATAGCCTTCAACTATGCATTTAACTTAACTCATTGTAAAATCATTGGGGATATTTCTATATACATTCATCGGTATCTGTTCTTCCCGAAAATTTTATGTTTTGTATAGTAAGTTCCGTATTGCTGATTTTGGTAGTTTCAGAAAATTGTTTTTCGATTCTTGACAAAGAAGAAGCAGTAATGTTTTAATAAATAAGAATTAAAAAGTTTATGTTCACTGCTACATATAAATAATTTAAACAGGCATATTAAATACCAGATTAGGAAGTAGTCATACTTTAAAATCTTGATACATGTTATTTAAAAATTCTATTAGTTCAGGGGTGATTGTGAGTCCAAGTCAAAATTCCGAAAAATTTCCCGAGTTTAAAAAAAAAAAAATTGAAATTGAAAAATTAGAAAAAAATTTAAACTAGGTTTTTCTAGGAGAAGTAATTAAAATTTACAAATATGTCTTACTTTCTTGAGTTTATGATTATAACTATTTACTGATAAAAAATGTATCTGGCTCTCCCTTACAAACAAAATAAACTGTGTTTTTAACTGTGTTTAAGTTCCACTTTTGAAAATTTGATTTCCGGAAACTTCTGTGATCAATGATTTTTTGAAACGCCTGGATCTTCGATCTCCGGATCTTCCGGATTACTGTTAGCGAAAAATCTGGAAATCCGGATTTTTTCCGAAGCACAATCAGCCCTGATTAGTTTCAAAATTTTTGACTTTTGTTCACTACCACTGATAAATATATTTTGCAAAAATCTCAAATGTTAGAGAGTCGTCATTATGCTAACTATTTTTTGATGTATTTCTAAGTTAGGTAAATATTTTTAATATAAATACATTGACACAATTCGTTTAAATATTTTTAATGAAAGGGGTAAAGAGGACATTCACGCATCATTACCTGATCCTGCAATTACCAAAGTGCTACTATCTGTATGTACAATTAAAATTGATTAAAAAAATATTAATGGTTTACCCGAGGAGGTGGCAATGTATATTGCAATTCAAATTTGTCTCTACTGTGATTTTTTTTTTCCTTCCTATGGTTCTTGTCAAGCTTTGGTAGCTACTTAGGTGCAAGATTTTATATACAAACTTTCTTCTTATTAAGTTTATATAAAACAAAGTGAAATCCAAAAAAGATATAGTAAACTTTGTGTTATGTGAACTAAAGCAAAAATCAACAGAAATAAAACACAAATGAAAATAAAGAAATGGACACACAACACCAAATGACGGAAAGAAATAAAGAGTCAAACGTGAGCAAAGTGGTTCAACCAATAAGAACAGGTGCAACAGATAGATCTCAGAACTCAACAGAACTCAAAGGTGCAACAGATTAAATTAAAAGATTTCCAAATATTAGGAAATGATGGGATACTAGAAAAATTCTTAATAATCAGAATTTTTCAAAATATGGAATGACCTTAAAAATCAAATTTGGTACACGTAGAGCCGTGTGGATTGGTTTTAGCAGAAGAACACTTAAAACTGTGACTAGAATTCCAATTGTGTAGAGCAGGGGTGTCAAACTCACGGCCCGAGATGAACATTTTTGTGGCCCAGTCAATATATCCGAACAAAGTAAAAATAAAATAGAAATGTGAATTAGAAATGAAACCAGCATATAAAATTATAATACAGTACTTTATTTATAAACTATACAGATCATTTCAAATTGTCCACTCAAAAATGTAAAATTCAAATTGGCTGAAATGGGGTCCGTTTCACACTAAGCTATCAATTAGATAGTACATAATCAGGTTTATCCTATTATAGCGAGGTAAGTTGGTTATCTTGCTCCAAGGTTCTCAATCAATTCTCGGATTTGAAAGAAAAAATATATAAGTTTTTACAAACTATAAATCAAGATACAAGTTTGTACTCCGATCAAATATGGTTGCAAGATTTATCTTTTATGGTTGATATAACCAAACACTTATCCGATTTAAATTTATTGTTACAAGGCAAGGATCAGATCATTAGGAACATGTTTGACATAATTAAAAAAGCATTCAAATGTAAACTATTTCTTTGGGAAAGGCAACTGAAAAATGAAGATTTAACGCATTTCCCAAAGTGCAACAAGAACAAATCTAGTTTAGATGATACTTCATCGTATCAAAAATTTCAAATCTTAGAACAGAATTTGAAACTAGGTTTAAAGTTTTTAATTCTTTGGAAGACAAATTTTGTTTGTTTTCTTTGATTTTCTCAATAAATATAGACTCAGTACCTGTATCGTATCAAAAATACTGCGTCATATCAAAAATACGCAGAAAAAAATTTCTTATCTCAGAACAGAATTTGAAACAAGGTTTAAAGATTTTAATTCTTTGGAAGACAAATTTCGTTTGTTTCCTTCGATTTTCTCAATAAATATAGACTCAGTACCCAGTTATATGCAAATGGAAGTGATTGAGATTCAGTGTGACTCAAATTTGGAGGCAAAATTCACTGAAGTGGGTGTGCCTAAATTTCACGAATATTTACCAGCAAGGTTTGAAAATACTCGAAAATTCGCATATGAAATTATTTCCAAGTTTGGAGGTACTTATCAGTGAGAGCAATTATTTTCTGTTATGAATGGAAATAAATCTCCTGTCCCAAACTGTATTAATAATGCTGATGTTGGGTCAATTTTGAAAGTAGTCTCGGCCAATAAAATTTCTCTCGAAATAGAAAAGATAATAGCAGAGAAGAGATGTCTAGTATCAGGACGTAAACAATAATTTAACTTTATATATGTTCATTACAATTCAAAATAAAAATATTTGTTTCTATGAACATTGATTTTTTTTNTTTTTTTTTTTTTTTTTTTTTTTTTTTTTTTTTGCAGCCCACCTGAAGTTCAGCATTGTTTATTTGGCCCAAGTTAGCTTTTGAGTTTGACACCCCTGGTTTAGAGCGATAGTAGATCAGTTAATGTCCTTATTTTGGACATATCTTTCACGTTCTTTAAGTTGAAGTTTAGGGGTACATTTAGGTAGTTTATAGCTAATACTAATAGCTAGAGCATATAACAAATTAAATGTCAATGTGCCAAACTAAATGTAAATTTAACCAATCAACGGTAACTGATCTTCCATCGCTCTACATAGTTGGAATTGTAATTACAGATCAGAGTCATCTGCTGAAATCATTCAGCAAACCTCTTCATCTACTAAACTTAATTTTTGGAGCCTTTCTATATTTTGAAAAATTCTAATAATTTAATTAATGAGCTTCATGCCTTATAGTACCTCATCATTTCCCAATATTTGGAAATCTATTCTAATTTAATTTGTGACAACCTGATATTCTGGCAAAATCCTTTCACACTTGTTTCTAATTTGTTTTTTTAATTATCTTATTTCCCGGTCCCTATTGGTTTAACTACTTTGCACACGCTAGTCTAATTACTTCCCCATGATCACTTGGTGTTTAGATACTAAGGAAGGTTCCTGTTCATAAAACCAAATCAAGTTATGTCCATTTCGGTACTTTCATTTATGCTTAAAGTAAAATGTTTGATGGCTAGCTACTTATCAATTATATGGACAACATGTTGAAACTGCCAACATGAACATTAGTCTCTATAGACGAAAAGTGATGAATTTAAATATTGTAAGTAAATATATCCATATTCAACAATATATTGAAATATTAAAACAATTTAAGTGATTTACATTATATTAGTCAATATTTTCGGTGCCATATTAAAATCTATCAATGCTCACAATAACATTATATTCAATAAACATTGAATACAATGACATTGTCCTTTCCCGATATTATCTTTCTAATATGTTATCAATAATTATAATAATATATTCTATAATTATAATTATCAATAATGATCAAGACATTCACAGTGTATTGATATTATTCTTAATTATGATAGTGTCATATTTAATTGATACACCTATGTATAATCAATAGCTGTCAACTTATATAAACCAGAATCTGGCATTCCTACATATAAGAGTTAAACTGGATTTCAGAGATGAAAAAGTAACGTGAGCATAGAGAGATAAAATTATGAGCTTTAAAAAAGAAAAATCATTTAGGTCTAATAGAAATATACTTAAAAAAATAATACAATCACAAAATATTATCAGAATAAAATAATAGATTGTTGTCAACATTTCTATAATAAAATGTACTATTCAGCAGGGGAAAAAGTATTAAATAAATGATCAAATAAAAATTTTAACCATCCTGAACATATATTTCACAGCTTAATTGTATCTGCATAAAAGCTTACAATTCTCACAAAAATAAATCCATCGGTTATTGTTAGACAACATAATCATGTGAAAATACTGAGATGATGAAAAAAAGATGAAAACAAGTATAACTTAAATATATAAATTTTATAAATCATTAGCAGTAAGCAGAATTCTAAAACTGAGCAGAAAAATAAGCATTGACTACAAATATCATTGCATAGTTGCAACTTATAATTTAAAGCTAAGAACTAAACAATTTCAAACAAATTATTTAGTTTGACCTAAAACTTGATTACCTTATAAGCATAATCAAATCTGTGTTTAAAATTCATGATGTCAACAGACCATAAAATTAATAATCAAACACTACTAAGTAAGTAAAGTATAAATAGTAACCACGCAAAAATAACATAAAACAGATATTAATGTAGTTGTTTTCATAAAACACAATTTCAAAGGAGATTTTAATCAATATATGCGCAATACAATTTTAGAGAATATTAAAACAATTAATAAAACTATAATAATTACCATAGCTTTCAGACATTTTTCTATTGCTTGAAATTAAGCAGCACCATAGATTCAATATATTACTCGAAATAACAAAGTATTTAACTCATCAACAGAATTCACTGACCATCAACAACAAAAATGAAACTACACTTTTCTAATGTTTAGCATAAATGTTGCCATCTGTAAACTATGAAGAAGTAAAACTGCCATCTGATATTTGAAATCTGATTGGTAAAAACATTTCAACTATGTGATAAAACTGCAGTAAAACTCTCCCTTCTCAAAAAAATTTTCGAATCGTGATTATTGTTTTACGTCTGAACGAAATAACTTGAACTAAAAAATGTAATTAGCTTGATTATAATTTAAAAACCTACAAACCACTAAATTTTTCTGAAACGGAATTACAATTAGACCATTGACATCATAACATTACAGTTAAAAACTTTGAAGTTTGGCATCATATAAAAAATGGCGGATTCCCTTGAAAATGAATCCGTAGCTGCTCTGTTGAGCATGAAAAGCCAAGCTAGGCATATCCCCACAGCTCCTTCACCTGTTCCTGCAAGAAGAGATTGTTCACCTAGAATCCGAAAACGTAATCGATTGATATATAACGATCATGAAGATACGTCTTACACTCTCTCAAGATCGTCGCCTAGGAAAACAGTCCGAGTCTCATCTCCAGTACCTTCAACACCTCCACAACAATTACCTGACAAGCGTGTTGCTCAAAAAGTGGGTCTAAAACTTCGAAATCTCTTAAAGTTACCGAAAGCTCATAGATTTTTATGTTGTGAATGGTTTTATTCCAACATAGATCAACCTCTCTTTAAAGATAGCGATTATTACAGTTGTTTGCAAGAGAATTTTCCCAACTTAAAAACTCGCAACATGACTCGTGTTGAGTGGTGCAAGATACGAAGATTCCTTGGAAAGCCTCGGAGATGCTCCCCAAGCTTTTTTGCTGAAGAAAGAAAATCATTGGAATTAAAGAGAAGTAAAATTCGACAACTCCAGCTGCGAAAAAATGTTGATTTGGCACTGTTCAAAGATCTTCCATCTGAAATACCTCTACCTCTTGTGATTGGAACAAAAGCAACTGCAAGAGTTCGCAGTCCACAAGATGGACTTTTCTATGGTTCCATAGATGCTGTAGATACTTCCAACTCTACTTATCGCATAACATTTGATAGGCCAGGACTAGGCACCTTTTCTATCCCAGATTTTGAGGTTCTCAGTAATGATCCACCTGATATGATGCCTATCAAAGCATTTGCTCAAAAATCTCGTCCAAGAAACTTGTTATATTCATCTCCTCGCTTCGTCCCAATTTCTCCTTGGTCGCAGTCTGATACAGATCCACTTTTAGGAGAATCTTCAAACAAAGAAGATGTTTCTTTTGTTGAGGATGGAACATTAGGGGGCTTTCCTAAAAAGTTTCTCGCTCTGTTGGTGCGGCTAACAAAAATATTGGCTGTGAAGAAAAAAAATTTGACTTTATTGAAGGATATGCATACTGAAGCTGAACGAAGTCTATCTCGAGGTCAACCCATGACTTTTGACTTTCAGAAATCTTACGCGTCTCTTGTTTTGGAATTTGAGCGTCTAAATAAAGATCTCTGTGAGTATCTAAATAATGTACACACTTTCTGTCAAGAGATAGCTCCTGAACAGGGGTTGCAACCTGTATTACAGCCAAGTACCATTAAAGATCAATGCTTTAAAGAAGCATTGGATTATATTGAGCAAAAGAGCCTTCTAGAAGACTTTCCTGTTGTGAAGAACCAAAATATATTGATGCTTATTGCTCAACTATCTTCTCTTATGTCCCAGTTAAAACACCTCTCTACCAGTGAATATAACTCATTTGAGTTCAAATCTCTTTCAGAAACATTAACTGAAATACAATCTAGACTAAAGAAGCAAAATGTTCCAGTTTTTAAAAATGAGGTTGAAATACATATCAATCATATACGAGATGGTATTAGTCAAATGGGCAGTTTGCATGCTTTTGCTTCTCAGAATACGTAAATCTATTAATGATATAAAATAGTTATAAATAAATACATATATTTTATCTTTTGAAAGGCTGAACTGAGCTCTTCAAATTTTATATATTTAACTTAATATATATGAATTTTTATTGTTTGCATATAGATAACATTCAAATGGGATTGAATGTATTTTAGCTTTAAGCATGTATAAATATTTATTATGTTCTTATTCTGTAATTGACCTTATAACGTCTTGTTTTACCATTAACTTATTAGGTATTTAAGGTGTGTCAAGCCAATTGCAATGTTTTTAGCTGATATTTTTCATTGTTCAAAATGTATTTATTTTATATGTTTGAAATTAAGATTAAAATCTTTTTTGGAAAACACTATCTCTAATTATTAATTTTTTCTCTTACAATGAAAAAAATATTTACTGCTTTATTAAAGTAAATGAATATTATTTAAAACATCTTAAAAGCCTGATCTATCCTAAATGTATTGGTATGATGCCTGCAAACCTGATGATGAAACCAGTGAGGGAAAACTGTGAAAGCAGTAGTTTTCATGGAAATCCTAAGAAGTAAAATCTTTTAAGAGATAGAAGAAAAAAAAATTATGGTATAAATTGTTTCAAAATAATAAGCGATAGAATGTTTAATGCTTTTGTACTATGTCCTGAGAATAATTCTTAGCAACAAGGTCAGCACTTAGGCTTAATAACATCTCAGTGCTGTCAGACAATCATAATCTCTTTCAATTTTTGTTCTAAAAATTTTGATTTTAATATATTTTGAAACAATCATTATTAGATTGTTATTATCGACGAATTACAATACAATTTTGTATGTAAGTTTGAAGGGGGGGAATTTACAAAAAGTCAGATTTATTTGATGTAAATCAATTTCTTTACATTTGCTAACCAAAATATCTAATATGGTGTATTAATATTATTTAAAACAATTTTGTAGCCAAAATAGTTGAATACTTTCGATTAAAATTGAAAACCATTTGTCAAATAGATATCCTATAACAGTGTTTTCATTTCAGAAAAAAAAATGGGTGAGAATTTCTCACCCTTTCTCAAAAACAGGGTGAGATTTCAGAAAGTTAAGTGAGATTTCAAAAATTAAAAAAAAAAAAAAAAAAAAAAAACACTAAGAGACTTGAAAAAAAAATTTCTTTCATTATAATGCATTTTTAACATCTTCTAATTTTTAATGCATTGAATATTTTTGCTGCATCATCATATGGAAAATGTTCTACATCTACTTTTTCATCAGCTATTCTCATTAGGTTGCTCAAATGCGTATTTGTTTCGTTTTGATCGTTTCTACCCACATTTGTTTCATTTTCATTTGTCCGTTTCGGAGTAGAAGATATTGGCTTTACAAGGTATTTGTCCATCTTACATTAACGAGCAAAAAATTTGAACGTCTTACATGAAGAAACCTTACCTACGGTAAACACGTGGTTGCAGAGAAATGCGTTCTGAAAGAGGTTCCGTGGTTCGGAAGGATGGTGTTCTGTTGTTCTTAAAGGCTCTGAACAATACTGGTAAATAGGGAAGCTAGATAATGGGGCAGATGTTAAAAATAATAAAAGATCCAGGAAGAAGAGTGAAACGGATTTTATTCTAAATGGCGCAAATGAGAATTTTTTTTCAAAATGCGAGAAATTCGCGAATTTTGAAATTGATTTATAGAATGCGCGAATTTCTCGCGGTAATAATTTTTTAATGCGAGAAAATAAAAAAATATGAGAGATTCTCGCGCTGTAGTGAAAACACTGTATAAAAAGTAAATTAGATTAGATTTTAAAACATACTGATAAGAGTTTTATCTAGAAATATAAAATGTCAGGATGCTTCCTTAAAGAAAAGGGTACTCACATACCAATGTTAAATTTTATCAAAATGTGTAATATTATATAAATGAATTTGACCCAATTTTTAAATTATCCCATTTTATTTGTATAGTTCACTAAGTAATTCTCATTCATTATCAAAATAACGAAACAAAAATTGAAAGCAGGGTAGAAGATAATTGTGTTTAAATTTTCTTCAAAAGAATGTAAGCTTGAAAATGATTAATTGATTGAAAGCTTTTTTGATTTGATTAATCGAAAAATTTAAAATCTCTAAATTATTCATTAACATACCACCTTCCAAAAGAGGAAACTAATAAAAATTGAGCCTGCTATAAAAATTATCAGAATCTATTTATTTATTTATTCTGAATAATAAGTTTAATTTTTTCAGTGTGCAACTATTATCTAATCTAAGCAGTGAAACCAAGCGAATTTAGCTTAGAGGTAGCGTTTCTTGTTTTTCTGTGGCCAAGAATACAACTACAGCCACAAACACATCACAGCCTGTTTATAGGGCAGACCCATTCATACATCTATTCATTCAGCCACAGATCGTAATTTTGACCTGAACCAGAGAACGACCAATCTCTAAAACATTTTGTATAAAAGTAAAACAACAAAAGAGAAGAAACTTTCAACTTTTTTGTACTGTATTAAATTCCATGTGTTTAAATTTAAGCTAAAACTTATTACTAAACAATCATACAAGTCATTTTTAGACTTCAAATACTTTCCACTCTTTTCAAAGTCTTGAATAAAGTATACTTTTTTCCAACATAAATCCCAACATTGGTTTATAATCTTTTCTAATAGTACAATATCTTTGAAAAATTTAATCCAAATTATAGAAAGAAAATAAATTTCATGCACATTTTAACTAAATAACTAGACAACCAGGGGTGAAAGGTTTCCGTATTTTTTAAAAAACCACAAGACGGAGCGAAACAAAATATTACTATAAGTGAATTCTAAGAAATTGTTTTTGTTATTTATTAACAAAGTATTAACTTAGCTAAGTATATCCTTTTCCTTAAAATACCAGCACTTTATTTTATTAGAAAATTAGATGTCAGAAAAAAATTGAAAGCTGAGGTAATTTTTGCTTGAAATAACTAATTACTTTGCATTTTTTGTTTATACTCCTGAACAATAGTAGGTTTGCTAAAATAAATATGGAATTTTTATAAGCCTTATTTGCATTTTGTGTATTTTAATTTTTATTAGAAAGTTTGTTCGCAATTTTTATGAAAAGAATTCATATATAATTTTTTGTTTACTTAAAATTATTGGACGGGACACGCCCACTTCTGATTTCGAAATTTTCAGTCTTGACAATTTTCGAAACTTTCACTCTTGTAGAAAACATAAGAAAAATCTTACTAAAATGAAGAAATGAAATTAAAGTTAAGTAAATATCAATAACTAAATAAATCAGAATTGGATTTTTCATTAAAGCAGGTGGTGAAGAAAATAACCTTTTTGTAAAAAAATAAGATAAAAAGGCAGTTTTTCCAAAGGATGGCTCTGTATTTTCACAAAAAAGGCAATGAGGGTGCATTTATAGGGATCTAAGAGCAGGCAGTGTGAGCAGCCCTTCCAAAAATGCTTAGGGTAACACATTGTAAAAGATATATTTTAGGTAACTGGGTTGATGTACACTAATTACATGTTAAATAAATTTTAAAGCACTTGTATTTAATTATATGACAGGAAACTAAATGTCTATAATTGTAATATATTTATTACCAGCAAATGATTGTACATATAACTAGTTTAAATTTAATAGTTCCATGCTTTTTTTTTATTTTATTATTAATAAAAAGTCTTTTGAAAAATTGTGCCCTAAAAAATATATTAATCAATATTATTATATAAAAAATATTCAAACTGCACATTTTTTAAAATCAGTTTAAATTATTGATATCTATATTTTTTTTTAAAACTTATTAAAATCTCTTAAATTCTGTTTTTGACATGATTAATTAATTTACATTTTTATGAAAGTATAAATAGTTAATACTGTAGCTGGGAGAAATATTTATGCAAAATTTAGACTTAAATATTTTGAAACTAGTGTGAGTTCATTTTTAAAATAAACAAAATATTTTACACTCTTCTATATGCTTCGATAGGTAATCAATTGCTCATCATATTAAATGAAAGATAATAAGTTATCAGCTTGTCCTTTATATCCCCGTGGACCATTTACAAATCTTGAAAAATTCAAATGCTATTTATACTTCTTTCAAAGTATGATAACTGTGTAGATTTGACAAAACTACTTATTTATCATCTACACATTTTTAACGAAAACTATAAAGTACTCAAAAATAAAAACCTTTTTCACTGGATAAATAATTAAATAAATTATCCAAGAGTTTTTTTTTTTTTTTTTTGCTTTCTGGTGACAGAGAATTTGACAGTATGAGTAACAAATACTAATAAAGAGCAAAGTACAAAATAAAGGTTCTTGTCTCATTTGATTTCTTTCAATTTCCATTGAGTATTGCAATTAATTTTGAAGGTATTTTATTAAAATTAGTAGCGGTGCACACCCTTATTTTTTTATTTTTTTTTAAATAGTCACAGGAGAAAAAATTAGATTTTTGGAGCTGCAATGAATTTTACTTTTATATCAATAGATGATACCTTAATTACTCGTTAGATTAATTAGAACAATATTAATTTGCTTTTAAAATTAAAATAGAAAATGTATGTAAAATATTTTGGAACTAAAAGTGAACTTGTGGACAGTTTCTCTTTATAATTTATGCAAATTTTTCAATTTTTATGAAGATAAATAATAAAAAAAATTTCTGTGTAGGGGAGTAGGAGATACCTTTGAATAACTTTTATCTTTGAAATTAATGATATTGTTTAAGATACAAGTTTGTAATTGTTTAATATAAGTAACAATTTTAGTTGAGTTAGTTCATTTCCTTAAATACTGCAGTCTGAGCAAGCTAAAGTGTTTCTCCCTACTGGTATCTTTTTTAATTATAAATTTCTCGCAGGTTGCAATTTCTTTTTACTTCTGTAATATTTTATTGGGTCATCTGAAAAGTTCATGCTGATTTTCGATAGGTAGCCATGCTTTGTCAAAAATATTCAGGATGTTTCCAAATATATGATATGAAGTATATTTCTTGTTTTTAAAAATATATCGCTAAATCTTATTGATCACCACCAAGATTTGGAATCTTACTGCATGTATAGAAGTTTGATACATACTACATAAATATCGATTGAAAAATTAAAATGGCTGAAAAATTAGGAGAACTTTAAACTGCCTATCTTTAACCTAATCGAAATTCTATTCTGCACAGACTTTCCTGACTACCCAATATCAGGGTTTACAAAGATCTGGAAGAATTTAAAAAGTGGTACTAATTTAAAGACTGAAAATGGTATTTTTATATGTTTGTAACTACCTTTAAATTATTTTAATAACTTTAAGTAACTATTTCTAGATTCTTTGGATTTGAATTTTTAATCTAAAGTGAAGGCTAATACTTAAAAATTACTGGCTCCTTTATATAACAAATTTATTACCCTATGAATAGATACCACCTCTGCCACTGTGCAGTTCTTAAAGGAGACTCTGAAATAAACGGTACTTTATTATCAGGCCAGAAGATTTTTAAGTCAATGACTTCGGTGAATCTTGTTTTGTCATCTTTTTTTATTGTATTTTTACTAGTTTTTTTAATAGCTATTTGCCTCATCATTAGAAGTAAAATATACATATAGGAGAAAATGGGATAATACCTAGTTACTAAAATTGGAAAGCCTGTTGGAACTAAACTTTTTGACCTAGAAACTGATTTAATGAAGATATTCATTGTATGCAATGTATCATTCTCGAAAAGTCATAGATGTACTATTTTTTTACATTCGAATTTTTTCTAGAAAAGGTCATGGTTTAATGTTAACTCTGTGAGAAATTTTGAAATACCAGAATTTCAGTAAAAAAGTAGCAGACATTCTATTTTATCTGAAATTCTAGAAGAATATTTGTCATTTTTATATTATGTAGTCAAGGCTACATTGAATGGGACAGGGGGAAAAGTGAATCCATTGTCCGAGCACCTGAGATGGCTAAAGGCCCTACCAAAATTCTTTTGAAAAAAATTTGTACATTAATGTTTTTCAACAAAAAAAAATAGTAGATAATTTATTTATATCTATTTAAAAACTGCAATTTTGTATAAAGGGTCTTAAATTCTGCAAAATATGAAAACGAGGCTTTTTATGCTTTGAGGGTGACTCGTACAATAAATTCTGTCCTGCTCATGTGAAACCTATGTTCTATGTTCAGCCTTGGATGTAGTTGTATTCTCCTGCAGCTTTTTGGGCCCAGCATAGACATATCAAAAAGGAAAGGGGGGCACCAGAACACTCAGTTTTACCTCTCTAGAAAAAGTTATCTTAATGAAACAGAACATTGCTACCTATTGGGGTAAATCCTTATTGTTTGTTTATCTTTCTTCAACACATAAGCTGAACTTGGAATAATTTTTACTCTAAAACCAATAAATAAGGATAGCTTAAACAGAGAACATTAGAGAGTTGACATAGTAAAGGAAACTTATCTACACAGACGCTGTAAATAAAGCAACATCAACAGGCCAATATGATATGGTAAATAAAGCCATTAAACTCATAAACAGGAACATAAGCAGCTGATGGAAATCAGAACTAGCACACCCACAAATAATGCAAATGACGGAATGAGAAATCATCTTCCGGAAGAGACTACTAAATACGATTGTCGACTAAAATTGTGATTTTAGTAGACTAAAAGTGCAATATTTTTATTATAGGACCAACATTTATATTCAAATATAAACGGAAACGATTAGAAATGGATACCACTCAAAAATTGTGTACTAAATATTTTTTAGGAATGTGTTATGGGTTTAAATTAAAAATCTTATTTACTTCTTATAATTATAAATTTATTTTCATAAATGCGGAAAAAAAACATTCTAATGCGGTAGAAAATTATTGTGTTCTTTAGTGATAAAAAAAATACGAACGTAAGAAGAATAAAATACTGTGCTTTAAAAGTAGACCCTATTTATTAAAAAATAAAATAAGAAAGTGCTAAGTTTCTAGCTGGAGCATATTTTTTCTTATCTCGATCTAATAGCAACTAGTCAGAATCATATCGAGTGCATGTTTTCATTAAATAAGTTACTCCTTTTTTTTTTTTTTTTTTTTTTTTTTTTTTTTTTTTTTTTTTTTTTTTTTTTTTTTTTTTTTTACTAGCTATCACCATTGTTTCAGAAAATTTTCATTTCTCCATAAAGTTAAACGAAATTTATTATCAGCAAACTGCCTTTTTTTTCCTTTTTTTTTTGCAATTGCACTGTATTATGTTTAAAGATCTGTTTCATTTTCTTTAAGAGTTTAAATTGTTTATTTTTGTTTTCTTTATATTAAATATTCTCATGGAAAGAAAAACTATTAGTTGGAATTTTATTTGACCATAAAAAGACCTTAGCTTATTCTCTTTTTTTTTAATTTCAAATCATTTTTGAAGTCATTAAATTTCTATTATTTTATTAAATTTGTTTGTATAATCTTTAAAATTTAACGAAATTCTTGTTTTATTCCCATTTCTTTTCTTTTCTTTTTTAAATACAACATGACAGTACTTAGTAACAGTCTCTTTTCACTTGATGCTATTTACATAAATAAATTGAGATAAAATTAAAATTCTTCCTCTGAATTCCTTTTTAGATGTGTATTTAAAGTGATCTTTTGTGTTTGGCAAAATAGCCATTTCTTTACTTGATAGAAAGAGCGAAATTCAACTGTTTAAAATATTAAGCTTAAATCACATAGGAAGTATCAGTAGCTAAATTTTTGAGACTTTTCAGCTATTAAATTTTAAATTAAATCGAAAGGAACAAACATAAAGCAATTGCAATATCCTGACATTTTGATGCTTTCTCTCCAATCCGTCACACTATATAATCTGATGGGTGAAATGAGCCAGCAAAAGGTTGGGCAAATATGTTCTAGATAAACCGTAAATTCTAGTTAGAGTATTAGTAATTCCAGTTTATTAAGTGGTAGCGGGCAGACGTGTAGTCCTTAATAAATGTATAAAATAATGTTTAAAGGGAGAGGTACATTATTTACGTCGCACTACAGCTGCAGAATGGGCTATTGGTGACGGTGTGCGAAACATCCCTGAGGATGATCCGAAGTAGAGTGACTACTAATCCGAAGATGTCTCTAGCACTCTAATCCGAAGATGTGCCATTGCAATTTTGACCCTCTCCGTTCTTACTCAGGCAGATTAAAGAGGTCGCCTAGCGGCTTACTGACAGCAGCCTGTGAGGCTTGGACTTCAGTGTTCTACTGGGAACCGTGTCTTTACGATCACTGAGGGACAAATAATGCTTAAAAAGAATTTTAAGTATAAAAAGAGGATCGTTTCGCTCCTCCGGTCGCAGTCGGGGAAATATGACAACCTGATTGGTGAAATGACAAATTGACGTCAGTACGTAAGAGGCAGATTGAAAGAAACAATTTGTTTTCTTTAAATGGCAACAAAATTAGCATTTGAACTTAGCGGTTACAAGAGGAGCCAACAACCCCTGTCACAAACAACAGCTAGAGTATTTTAAAAATTACGCACCAATGAGTTTAAACGCGTCTCGTTCATAATATTTTAATAAAACTCAGTGCTTTGATGTAGAATACAACTGATAAATTTTAGAGGGTTGAAATTATTCGATTAAGAGTGTTTTCGCTATATTTTGTGAGATAGTCAATCGTTGATTAACTTATTGCTGTGTTTATTTTGTATATGTAAAATTTAATAACTTTTTTAATTGCGTTTTTTTAGCACTTGGTAATTTTAATTGTGTAACTGAAATCATTTTTAGGATGGGTTCTTCCAAAAAACATAAAGAGAAGCGAGATAAAAAGAAACATAAGAAACGGTCTTGTTCTAGGGAAAGAGATCACAAAAAGGCTCATAAATCCAGTCATCGTAAGGATAAACAAAAGAGCCCTGATATAGCTGATTTTGAAGAACAAGATGGAAAGAGTCAATTTGATCCCAGTGAAATGTCTGATGTGCTCCGTGAACCTCATAATATTGATAGTCGTGACTCGGACAGCTCTCGCAAACGGAACGTAAATTTAGAGGATGAATTTGATGTCGATAAACTGTTGGATGAAAAACTCACCGAAAACAAAGAAATAACCTCTCCTTCTATACGTGCTTCTAAAAAACGCCGTCGTGAAGCTGCGATAGAGGAATTGCGGAAAAGAAGCAAACTTGACACGAATGAGGATTCTCTAGAAAAATTCGCTCAGGAACAGCTTTTAGAAGAGCATAGTTCAGAAGAAGGTAGAAAAAGTCGTCCGTCATCAGATATTCCCTTCTTAGGAAGTGCTGTTGTTAAGGAAGAGCTAGAATCTGATGACGAAGGTAACCTAATTGAAAACCTCATTAATCTAACCTTTTATTTACCAAATTATGTTACTCTGAGATATTTCGTTATCGATACCTCAGTGATAACGCGTACGGGGGATATTTCCGTATCCTGATCAGTTGCGCCAACTACCATCACCAAGGTGCCAAATAGATTTTAAACTTGCAATTTTTTAAAAAAAGATGTTTTCCCATGAGTTACGAGTTATACGTTTCGAGTATGTCCCTTTCTTTAATTTTTTTTTATTTCCAGTTTGCCGCTGTCCAGAAGTTGCCAAGATTTGGCGATTGTTCTGCCGTAGATCTGGATACAAAAAATCTCCCCCAATGAAGTGCAAATAAAGAGAAAAAGAAAAAACGTCATTCTTTTCAAATAATTTCGTGCAAAATTCATTTAAATTGCTGAAATAAACAGTTCTTGGTGATATTTCTGTATCGTGATCTGTAGCACGAACTACAATGGTCAAAGTGCTAAATATATTCTAAAAATGCAAATTTAAAAAAACAACAATGTGTAGATGTTTGCCTGGGGGCGGTTATGAGTTACACCTTTCGAGTTAATCTCTTTCTGTGATGTCTTTTTTAGTTTCTTGCATGCCGCTGCTGGGAAATTCCCAAGACTTGGCGATTATTCTACCAAAGATCAGGATATGGAAATTTCCCCTAGTTCTTATCTATTGATTCAGTACAAAAACAATAAAAAAAGGAAGTTGGGAACATGTTTCAAAATTAATAAGTCGGATAAAATGTGATATATACCGGAAAGCAAAGAAAAACACAGCGACAAACTAAGCGAAGTTCATTTGATCTTTAACTGCATTTAATAAAGTATCCACTGATAAAAATGACTTTAACCAAACCCTTCTTTGCCTCGACAGCTTGTAATTCAGCAAAAGAAAATTGAATAGAAATTACAGGCTATATTATATATTTCATGATTATGTTTCATTTTCCTGATGGAATGAGGTTTTCTCTCTGATAAATGAATATCGTTTTCGAAATGCATTTGTAGTAATGATCATTTTAGGCGAATTTTTATAAGCATCTGACATATTATTTCAGTTCATTTAAAATAGGGAGAATGAAATTACATGAAAGAAGTAAATAACTTAAAATTACAAAATTTTAATAAATGGTAAATTTAACTTAATTAGAATTGTAAATATAGTCTAAAAATGCTACATATATTTGTATTTTTTATTTTGACTGCATAATTTATTTACAATTTTATATCTAAGTCTTATTTTTAAAATGTAACAAAATTAACTGTTGGGATCAATTCCATCTGATATTTAATCAGCCGTTATTTATTTTTTTGGTTCCACCTATGCTGATTAGGCTATTGAAACTCTAAATCTATCAATTAATGAATAGAAAGAAGAAAAAACATTTCTCGGGAGTTAACACTATTAGCTGAATAAATGCAACATAACATACACAAAAGTATTTACTTATTGCAAATGTTTTTCAAGAAACTGAAATTATGTTCCCAATAACATTTGAAATTTCAACATTCCTTTTTTTTTTAAATTTTTATTTATGTATTTGTTTTATTAAGACACAAATTATTTTAATAATAATACATTAACAAGCATTTAATTATACAATATTTGCTTTTTTTGTTTCCAAAAAAATCAATGCGCATATTAAATGTTTCATCATAACAAAAGTAATAGTTTGTCTCCATATTAAGCTAAATTCTAATCATTGTAAAGTAAATTGTAAATATGTAATTTTCAATTACCTGTAACTTTGCAAAAATGATATATTTTTTCTTAATTGAGATTGTAGTGTTTTAATTCGTTATTTTCTTTTTTTTATTAGCTCTTCAGCACATTTAATTTATTAACATAAATTTTATTTTTGGTCGAGCAACGTACATAACTTTGCTTCATATTATTAAGTAAAATTTATTATTACATTCCAGCATCAACAAAAAAATAAATAAATTATGAGGTAAAATTGTTGCATTTCTTTCAAATTTATGAGAAATTGCAAACTGTCAACCTTTGACTTCTAGATTAACTTTGCAAAATAGTTATAATTTTACCTATTTTATTTTTATCAATGTATTTCACTTACTCATTTTTAAATGTAAATTGCTTCAAATAATTTCAATCAAATAGGCATATAATTTATGCACTACAATCCACCATTTAAGAGTCACTTGCATTTAAAAATTCATTCTTAGATAATTCAGTTTACATTTTTCATGAATTTAGTTTATTAGTTAATATTTTATTTGTCTAATGATGAGATTAAAATAATTAGCTTAACATATCAACACATCTTTAAGTTCTACAAATTCATTCAAAATAAGTTTGCAATGAACGAAAAGAATTTTAGAATTGCTTATGTCATGGTGTCTAAGATGTATAATAGTATATTTATACGGTCCCTTAAACAGATGATTTCTTTATCTCTATTCACAAACGTTCTGTAAATCATAATTTCTGAACTCCTTTTTTGACTAAATTCTTTTTTTTTTATACAAATTTACAGATTCGTTTAAGAGTAAGTAAAGAGCACTTTTCTAATTTGTAGTTGATGCATTAAAGCAACCTATAAAAAGTTAACTTTACTGAAAACAAGTTACCTGATCAAAACTATTATATGAAAGTTAACTTAATTTGAAAAATATTTTCAATTGGAACTAAGTTTCTATAACCCTTAGATCAAGAGGTATTCAGTATACAGTTTTTTTTTAGACACTCTGTTCATAAAACTTAAAGCTTAATTTGATTAAAAGTTTGAATACTAACCACAGTTTTTTAAAAATTTATTGATTTAATTAAGTAATGTTTTTAATATAATTAGAGTTAAAACTGGAAAAATCGCTAGTAAGAACAGTAAGATGAGATTTAAAAAATGTTGAATTTTTACTTATAAATGTATCATATATTTAAGAACTAGACTTTACTTTTGAGATTACATATATATATATATATTATTTTTTTAAGAAATAAAAATTCACTTTAAAAACAAATAATAATTTTTAAAATTAAAATTTCCTTAAAAATATAGATAATGTTATTAAAAATAAGATTTTTTTATAAAGAATACTTATGTTTTTAAAATCAAGAAATTTGTCCAGAAGTTGCCAAGATT